TGTATATTAGCACATTTACTCAAGTGTGTATTAGTACATCGATACATGTATATACTATCACACAGAAACACATATTACCATACATTGACATCTGTATATTAGCACATTTACTCAAGTATGGATTAGTACACCTACACAAGCGTGTATTAGTACACCTACTGAAGTGTGTATTAGTACATCGATACATGTATATACTATCACACAGAAACACATATTACCATACATTGACATCTGTATATTAGCACATTTACTCAAGTGTGTATTAGTACATGGATAGCGTTTTAAAATCTATATTGTAAACTTTTGGATTTTCTATTTCATTTTTATTACTTGTGAATGAGCTGCCTCAGCTAGGTTTTCGTCAAAATCTACTTATGAATCCGAGGATTTTTTAACACAGTCGTAAGTGTGGAAATTATATATATATAAATATATAGAAATGAATGAATAGATAGCTGTAATAATAATAATTACATTAATTGTTAATAAGCAATTAAATCAGCATTATAAAACAATAATGAACTTAATACCAAATAAGCATTGTCATTGTCAGTCCTAGTTGTCAACTTGATGTCATAATGGATAATGTCTGTGATAATAGCAGCCAAATGCGTTGGGGATATCCCATCTATCAGACAATATCCAAACGCTGATGATAAACTAGCCAGCCATTATGGAAAATAAAATAAGGGTGCGGAGTAGAGTGCTTACACCCACAACGTCTCAATTCCTATTGCCTTTCACTGTCTGCAGCCAGTTGTGAGAAGGCAGTTACCCTTAAAGTTCTTGAAATAGAAATGAAACCACCATAAAATTTCTATGTGAAACTCCCAACCTCTGCCCTTACAAGAAGATGATAAATGGAACTAAATTATCTTAAAGGTAGGGTTTGTAGTTTTCAGAACATTAGATAGACGTAATATTAAAGCATTTTGTAGTTTGATTTTCTTTTAGAAAATTCCTTAAACGAAGCTTATTCGGGAATCACCGAGATATATTTTTTACACCAGTGATTTCTAAAATTTCTCTCTCTACGCATCGGCAAAATCTTTGTAAAAATCCCTACAGCCGGTTTGGACTGTATCAGAGCTTTATTTAAGAATTTTTTCAACTGCACAATGATATTCTAACTTCATCATTTTTTAATACATGACGCCTTATTGCACCTCATATATATAGGCCTAGTAACAAATGATCCAAAAAATGAAGAGTATTCTAGTAAATACATTTATTTATCAACTCTGGAATAGAATTTTATAATATTAAATATGTTTTTTTTTAATATTTATCCACTTGAACTTCATATATATTCAACTACACAAATATTTTTACAGGTGCATATTTTGTGATCAACTGCACACTAGGAAAACTCCTGCACTGTATAGGCCTGTAGTTAGAGGCGTAGCTCAGACTGTGTGAAACCCTCATGCGGTCCCTTTTCATATCACATTCATTATAGCGTTATGGGCCCTTATTTAGCGAGTCCCCTTCCCCCCACACCGCGGAGTCTGCAGGGGCAGTTGGTATACCCCTGCTTGTAGTTCTGTTTCTAAATTTAACCTTTTCAGTGAGCTTTGTACTGAAAGTTATCGGGTTATTCTACAATGAACTAAGAAGGTTTAATTGTTTTTAGAGCATAGCATCGTTGGCTATCTGTTGTGTCTACCGCGGGGAATCGAACGCAGGATTTTAGACTTGTAAGTCCGTAAAATTAGCGCCGTCCCATCGGGAGACAAACTAAGAAGGAACCGACACTCTCCTCCTAAAATATGTATAAGTTATCAATTCCACCAAAATCGAATTTTCCACAGTAATTTTTTCTTTCTTTTTGCTCGTTTTTCATTTTCCACTGGACGTTTTTGCGGATAAGTGGTCAGAAATCACTGGATTTCGTAGTGAAGACACGGAAACAAAAACTTCAGTAAGTTCTCTTAACCTTATTAGAAATATTGAGTTTCGATAACCCGGTACCTTTTTAAAATCTTTATTGTAAACTTTGATTTTCTGTTTCATTTTTGACCCTTAAATGAGCTGCCTTATTTAAGTTTTTTGTCCTGTTCTGTTTGTTTTGATTTTCGCGCAAAGCTACACGAGGGCTATCTGCGCTAGCCGTCCCTAATTTAGCAGTGTAAGACTAGAGGGAAGGCAGCTAGTCATCACCACCCACCGCCAACTCTTGGGCTACTCTTTTTTACCAACGAATAGTTGGATTGACCGTCACATTACAACGCCCCCACGGCTGAAAGGGCGAGCATGTTTGGTGTTACGGGGATTCGAACTCTCGATGTCCTGTTCTACTCTTAAATCTGACAATTTGTTTAAACTCAGCCTTTATTTTTAAATCGCCGTTACCCTCCAACTTATACTTCTGATATATTCCACAGCGTTTTGTATATCTCTGGATCTTTAAAGGTTTCGCTAGCATAATTAATTTTTCTTCCACATTTTTTTTCATGAAAATATTTTCAGTAGGGATCTCGTGTGGACTATTGGCCAGCGTGTCTGGACTATAAACCCAGGACGACTCGTTGCCGCAAAAATTCACTCCACAATTTAGGATCTTGAGTGTATTATAAATACTGACGGTCAAATTCCACTATCCGATCACGTAATAGTAGCCCAATAGAAGGCGACAGGTTCTGTTGACTAGCTGCCTTTCTTATAATGTATCAGTTGAAAATTAGGAAAAATCTATATGCAATTAATCCTTCGGTAGCTTTATACAAAATTTTGAAACAAAGAAACAATTTACATAGTTTCATACGACATTTAAATTACAGCTCATATTATTTAATTTAGATGTTAGCTCTAGGGCACATGAAGTTAAAATCTAGAAAATTTGTTTAATATCTAGACGTGTACATTAGTTATAAATGTGTGTTACTGTGGTGAATTCGTTGGCACATGACCAGTTTATAGATGTCATAACAGACGATGATAGGAGAATTAATTTCAAACAAAGTAGGTGTACATCCTTAAAGGAAGCACTGCAGTTGGTGATGGAACTAGAATCCATTAAAGTTACAGATAAACTAGTAAAAGTACCATCTAGAAGTTACAGAATCATCATCAGTCTGGTATTGAAACATCAACTCCCCCTGACGACAGTCTAGAAGAACTGAGAGGATTAGTTAAACAACTGATTACATAGAAGAATGGAGGAAATAAACCACCAGACAATAAGTTTTTCAACTGTAACAAGAAAGCATGTATTGGTAGTAACTGTAGGTTAAAGCCAGTATGGAATAATAGCTCCTCCAAGAGGGTAATATAAAGAGGGAATTGTTTTAAATGTGTGGAACCATTACAGCCAAGACTGTGAAGAATCAACAGCTGTCAACACACCAAGGATACAATACCGTAAGGATGTGTCTTAGACAGGAACGAGCTAGATTTATATGGCGAAGATCAGCTGAAAATACTCCATGTACCACAAATGATATAAGAAATTAATTATTTGAAGAAAGTAGTTTTCGCGTCCTTGGGTTTGTTGATGGAAGACCTTGCGACATGTTGTTGATCGAGGCTGGTTCTACAGCTACTGTTGTTCGACCCGATCTGTTAATGAAAGGTGGGAAATTGCTTTTAGAGATGAAAAGAGAAGAAGGATTGATTGTGAACAGCAGGTAGACATAAAGTTAGATCAAAGAGGAAAGTTGGAAGTTAACCTTATTGTAGGAAGCTTCTCTATGTCTCATGATGTGTGGGTAACCAACACTGAGGAAGAGTGCATATTGGGAACTTGCAGTATATAGAGACGTGGATGCACGGTTAGACTAGTTTCAAATAGCCTCACAGTATATGACCAGGAAAACCTTATGTACTACATGCCAGTTACTACACCATTATGTACTACATGCCAGTTACTACACGAGAGGTCGAACTCCTAGTGAAAGGAGAGAGGGTGATCACTGTACCTCCAGGAAGTGAAATACTGATACCAGGAGCAATAAATCTATATCCAGTGACAAGGGCATAATGGAACTAAACACTTCATCATTTTCTGAAGGATTAACTGTTGGTAGAGCTTCCATGGATATGAAGAAAAAATGTCGGGTATGATTTTACCCAGAAAAGGCTTATGTTGAAATGAAGAGTTGCTATGGCATTAATGTTGATATGACCAGATTCAGCAAAACATGATATGGCTTTACAATAAGACCAGATTCAGCAAAACATGATATGGCTTTACAATAAGACCAGATTCAGCAAAACATGATATGGCTTTACAATCCTCCTCACAATTTCTGACGAACTCCAAAGTTAAGAAGTTATTGGGAAAAGTCATACGTTGTACTGAAAAGAACCAGTGATGGATTTTACAGAGTCCAGACAGATGGTTGGTCTAATACAAAGGTTTTCCACTGTGATCGTCTTTGAAAGTACGTCAGGGGAAAACAGCCAACTGGATAACTTCAGAGAAGAATTTGCAAATGAAAGTCAATATGGCGAGGAGCCCAGATTTCCTGTCGTGACCACTTCCTGAGGACAACAAGGATAGAGCCGCCAGTAGATTCACTCGACTGATATCTGTATATTGGTACATTAGTTATAAATACGAGTTAGTTCAATGAAGTATCTATTGTCAAGCTATTGACTAGCGAACTTAAGCCCGTAACTTGCATCAAAGGAAACGTAGCCTTTAGCAAGCGTTATTGAATAAATAAAGTAATTTGTTATTGTTACGTGGACTGGACTTGACATTACTTTTACCAAATAATCCAAACGATCCCGCCAACGAATGAACACACTAAAAAACACTGTTTCATAGTTATGTGTACCGTGATATAGAAAATGAACCAAATATCATAAGGTTATCATAACATGTTTTCTATTTTACTTCTGATATTCTTATTAACCCAACTGTTGGAACTTTTGAAAAACTCGTTCGAAGCACTCCATATTGAACTTTTCTTACAACGGAAGTATGGAGTTTTTGCGTAAGTATACTTAACTCAAGAATCAAGTGATGTAATATAGTGGTGTAATAAAGATGTTTTTTTTTTCTGAAGCTTAGCTTCTTATCCCCAGCCGTGTTATTCTCAGTTGATCAACACAATTCATTTGTAAGATTTTATAAATTATTATAATATCGTGCATATGGTAATTAAGCCTAGAAAGCTCTGTTAGTTTAATATAATCATAGAATGAATTTAAGAAATCAGATTTTCTTATAAGTATCGCTATATACCAACAGTCAAATTGATTACATGAAACAGTTCAACGGTAATTTTTCTTATTTTTCAACTTCTCGGTAGTACCGAATTTTGTGTAAAGTATGTTTAGTAATGTGTAAAACATAATAAAACTTTTTGTAGAACAACTTGATGGAAGCATTAAAGCTATTTTCTTTTATTTCTGTCACCAGACGGAGCTGTCCCAAAATCTCCAGTTACTCTCTGAAAAAGCCAAGGAAGCGACGGATTTTATCCAGTATATTAAAAGTGTACCCGAAGAAATCTCGGTATGTATGATATGTTTTGCTCACCGTTTCAGAACTAATGACATGATTCA